CAAAGAAAGTTAGTTTTTCCTTTTTCATTATAAAAAAGTCCTCCTTGATGAGCCCATGTCCTCTTAAAATTACTTTAAATCAAAATTATTCCAAAAATGTACATTTCCCATCCAAATGCAGAATGAAGGCGTAGAAACGAAGTAAGCTTCATTTAACTTTGCCTTGCAGTCTTTCGTGGGGACTGATGACTGAAAGGTGAGCCCACGCCACAAGTGGAAGCCCCAGGGCTGGTGGAACACCCAGGAGCAGCCCTTCCCTCCACCTGCAGGATCAGGGCTCCCGGACCCACCGCACAGAGGACTCGCCTGCTCAGAGGAGGGAGCCCGGTGGCACTTGAGGGCTGGTGAGGAGTTGGCCATGCAGAGGGCTACAGTGTGCAAAGGTCTAGCGTCACCAGAGCGGTAGCTCAGGTCGGCAGGGGCTCAAGCAGGTGTGGGAGTTTATTCCCCCCACCTGCAGAGGACCTGCCTGAGAGAGCCATTACTGAAGTACTCTGCCTTCAAGACAACATTGAGGCCTCAGGACTGCATCACCACCTGGTCTACTTCTACCTTATTTACTGAGGGAAAATGATCTCCCTGATCGGGGCTGACACCAGTGCTTGAAGCCAAGTTAAGCAATTATAAGCCCAGCTCTGAAAACAGTTATTTGTATGAATCGACACCACTCCCTGCAGGTGGTTTGGAGGCCAGTTTTGATGAAAATGGTAAGCTAGTTTTAGGAGTGGGCAGCTTTCCCACCTGAAGGCTATTCAACCCCAGATCCTGACTCGAACTAAAATCCAGCCCAGCTGCCTGTCCTGGCGCCCTACTCAGTGGAATCGCATCTCTGAGTCAGGTGACACCCAGAGTGAACAGGAAAGCTAAACATTGCGTGTAGCCAAAATTACCCTTGAAAACTCCTTAAATTATCCATATTAAGCATGGGTTTGTTTATGGAACCCAGTCGTGTGGATCTTACAAACCCTAAGGTGTGAAGACCATTGAGTTAAATTCTGAGGAGCATAAAATTAGAGTCGCATGGAGAGGTTGGATAGGTTGTATATTCCATCCATCCTGGCTGTAACATTGCTAACAGCTACTGGGGCAATCAGTGGGGAATTCTAAACATTCCTGTTTGCCTGCATAGCTTGTTCCCTCTTTAATTTTGTAGACTTGACTCAATGTTCTAATTCAACTTTTCTAACTTAGGGCAGTTGCACTCTTGTTGCAGTAAGGATCAAACCAAGACTGTAACTTGTACAGTGTCACAAGCAGATGCTCAATAAGTGTTTACTGAGTTTGAATCCCCTGTCATTAGCCTATTTTCATGTCCTCTTTGAAAAACTCTAGAAATGAATTTGGCCACCTTCTTCCCGTCTTCTCAGTTAGCATTTAGTAAGTGGTTGTACTGAATAGCTCGCAACCTTTTAAACTAGCTCACTGATTTTTTGTCTTCTTGAATAGCGTTGTACTTCCTTGGGTTTTATAAAGTGAGCCTAAGGTAAACGGACACATGCTAGGATTTTTTTTAAAGATTTATTTACTTGAAAGGCAATGTTACAGAGACAGAAGCAGAGACAGAGAGAGGGAGAGAGAAAGAGAGATCTCCCATCCACTCGTTCTCTCCCCAAGTGACCACAACAGTGGGAACTGGGCTAGGCTGACAGAGCAGGATCCAGGAACTTCATCCAATTTCCCAAGTAGGTATCAGAGCCCCTAGCACTTGGGCCATCCTGCTTTCCCAGGTGCATTAGCAGGAATCTGGGTTGAAAGTGGAGCAACCAGAATTCAAACCGGTGCCCATAAGGGATGCTAGCATTGCAGGCTGCGGCTTAACCCACTATGCCACAGCACTGGCCCCAGCGCATGCTACACTTTAATTACAGCTTTGTTTCTTTGGATTGCAAGAGCTATCATTCAGTTATACAGGTTGATCAATGTTGCAAAACACACCAGATGACAAAGGAACAAAGCAAGGAACCTCATTCTAATCCTAATGTAACTCTAACAGGGGTTTAGTCCTGCCCTTTCTACAGGTAGCTGAAAGCATCTTAGCACATCAAATTCTACACAACAAACATTTGTGAACAATTTTCTATGTTATAAGAATTCACTATAGCACAACAAAGAACACAATGATGAATAATACATAATTATTACCCTAAAGGAGCATTTTCTCTATTTTCACCCTCTCATACATAAAAACAGTGATCTCGGTTAAGGTGCACTCATAGTTTAACCACAATTTCCGTTTCTCATTAAATTAATTAGCTGGAAAAATACAAAAGAATTTCTATAAATATTCTTTCCAATTTGATTATGAGATTAAAGCTGTTCCTTTTGAGGTCCTAGTTTCTTGCTTGCTGATATTATTAACAAAAGTTAATATAATTTTTCAATGTTTTAATTCATCAATTCTAATTTGGGACTTCTGACAACTCGTTAACAGATAACCAAGTTTGTAGGGCTTTTTGTATAAGATACCTCAATCAGTACATTGTTATCACCACAGCAGGCAGAAAAATGAGAATCTATTTTATTGACCAGGAAGCTACTAAGAAATAGTCTCTCTCTCACTCTTTTTTATA